TTCAAAATATAGCCACATTGTTACAAAGTAGAAACAGGAAGTGAGTCCATCAACAGACAATGGAAAAATCATATTTTCATACACAAAATATCACTCAACAGTTAAAATGACTGAACCAGAGCTATAAGGAACTTGGATAAACATGGACAAAACTTTTAAGAAAAACAAAGTTGAGCAAAACAAGCAAGTTATAAATGAATACAAACACCATGCTGCAGAATGGGAGGCAATGTGGCATAATGATCGGGAGTGTGGCTGGAATCCCACTGCTTGGGGCCATTTCCTAGCACTGCCACTCACAAGTTGTGTGAGCCTGGTTGCATCACTGTTCAGTTTTCCCATCTGTGAACTGGGAGTCAAAATAGGACCTATACATAAAAAGGTACTGTGAGGATTTAAGGAAGTAATATCAGTAAAGCACTTACAATAGTGTCTGGCACTCAGCAAATGTTAGCTATTGTTGCTTTGGTGTAAAGTTTCAAAATGAGTATAATATTTTGTTGAGTGATATATATTAAAGTTTAAAAACACAGGAAAATTTCAATCACAAATATAGAATAGTGGTTACCTCTCTGGTATAGACTAGAGGGGAAGGGGATTGAGGAAAAATAGGGGGTAGCTTTAACTTCATCTGTGATGCTTGATGTCTTAAGCTGGGTTGTGACTACAGATTTTCCCTAGAATGTGTTAAATGAAATTTATGGGAGGCCATTGTTTTGGACTAAGCTCCTGAACTAGGCCCAAAAGACCAGACCAAATCAGAATGGAGTCACTCATGCTAAGTGCCCTGTAATCAAACTGAACATTGAACAGGGCCAGTTTTCAAAAAAACAGGAACCAATCTGAAGGGCCCAGTTCACCTGAGCCAGCCTGATAAAGAATTCCTATTTGTTTTAACCCTATAAGGAAAGTAACTTTGAAATGACCAATCTGCTTTTTGTTCTGTTTCTGCCTGTGAAGCCAACCTCTTCTGTTCAGCTCATTAGGACACTCATTCTATTTTATAGAATAATATATGCTGCTCAATTCTAGGATCACTGATGAAAGCCAATTAAATCTTTAAACTAAATATGTTGTAATTTTGTCTTTTGATAGTTGGTATGTACTTATAAAATATTTTATCCTAAGTAAATTTTTTTTAAAAAGATCAGACAAGATGGGGATGGGATTATGTTCCTATAGACACCAAGGACTGTCCCTAATTAGTTTTGTGTGATTTGGGGTTGGGGGCAGGCAGAGGATCCAGAAGGAGGGATCCTGGAGCCATCTAACTCTTACACTGTCTGGTTACTTCCCATCGTTCATATCTAGATTTAAATACTCCTCCCTGGGAGAAGACTTCTTAGACACCATTTTAAAGCCGCACATCCCCATTCACTAACACTCTGCACGATTTTTTTTGCCTTCAGAGCACTTATTCTGGGTTGTTTTCATATTATTTATTTTACTCGATGACTGTCCGTCTCCCCCACTGGAATGCTCTGTCTTGATCAACAGTATATTCCCAAAGCCGTATTAGGTCCTCAATTATTATTTGTTTGGGGGATGGCTGGATGAATGAATGAATGAATGAAGGCCCTTCCTCCATCGTCAGGATGCCTCAATTTCTAGGTACCGGGTAACATGTTCTTTTGAGCCAGACTGGAGGGCAGAAATAGAATAAGGAATGCCTAAGCTGGGGAAGGCGAGACTGGAGTGGGTTGAGGAGAAGGTGGATGAGGATCTGGATTAGGGAAATTAAGGGAAGCTACAGAGGTTGACGGAGGTTTCCGAGGGTGAAGGGCCAAAGGCAGACCAGTGGAGCTGCAGGGAGCAGGTCCGGGCGCGCGGGGGAGGGG